AAAAAAAAAAAAAAAAAAAAGGGAAAGAACTCTGGATATTTTTTTTGTTAAAGTCAAAACGGTTTTACCTGAACATCTTCATCAGTTTCTGGGAAATAAAAAGAGTTTTCTTGTTAACATGGTGTGATAAAAGTTTTTGATCTCCTGATTACAACTTTGTTATATCACTATAGTTCTTCAAAATCCTTCTCTTGAAACTCTTCGGATTCTTAGCTAACTCTTGTTCTGTATGTCTGCATGTTCATCATTTTTCTTACAGAGATGCAGTGTTATTTCCTTAGTCCATTACCAGGGTATTCTGTTTCTTATGAATTTTTTTTAGGCGATCATTGAAAAATAGTTCATTCCTTAGCATTTATTGGTTTGATACAGATATTCATTGTATCAATACAGTTTCAAGGAATGGCACATATGTATCAATCCAGTCTACATTTCTTTATGTTACTGTTTTTCTCCAAATTGCTGCTGACTCGTCTCTACCCAAGAGAAAGAACGAAGTAGGTGGGCTGTTTTTAAGGGGGAGACGTTGTCTCTGTGTCTCTGTGTTTGAGGGGGAGACTATGTCTCCATTTTTTTTGCTCTGTGTGTTTCTGATTAGTTCTCTTTTGGTATGTGGACCCTTTGTCTTTTCTAAAGACAAAAAGGGGGAGAAAATGAACAATCTAGAAAATATTTAAGCATGTTGTAAATGAACTCAGTTGTTTATTTCCTTGGTTAAATTTTTTATGGTTTTATGGTTTATATTCCTTTAAATCTCTTTAACTTCTTGCAAATATTTGCACAAACAATGTCCATATATCCCAAAATAATAGGCTTTCAAATTGAGTCTGTATGACCTCCTCTACTGGCCGAAGACTGCTATAAAAGCCCACGCTTTTGCAAATTTCGTTGTTAAATTCACTCTATCCTCAACCGAAGAAGGTAAGTTGCATAAACAACGAAAGTTCGAGAGCAGATGAGACCTCCTCCACTGAACCTAACCTATCCAATGACATATGGCAATTGCGTGTAGACAGAGCGTAAAATCACAAGGGAGCTGGAGCAGGCGTCGTCATAATCACCCCGGATGGAACCTTATAACTAAGCCATCACATTGGGCTTTCCAACCTCAAACAACGGAGCAGAGTATGATGCATTGATTGCTGGACTGCGCTTAGCGAAAGAATTTTCGAACAAGAGGTTGGCCATCTATTCAGATTCCCACCTAATCACCAATAAAGCTTTAGGGGAGTACATGGCAAAACACCTGTAAGGATTGTAATTGTTGCTTTGTTTGGCTCTTCTCTTTTTGGATCAAAACCATTGTAATCTCCTTTGATATTTAAGATAATCTCTAGGTTAGATTAAGTGGTTGCTGGTTTCCAAAGATCTCTTCGATGAAAAACAGGTAAGAACATTTTGCATACACTCATTGATACACTAGGATTGATACAAACTTTAAAATCGTTTATGTTTTCATTATGTATCAATCCTTTCCTGTATGTATTAATCCTTTCCTGTATGTATTAATCCTTTCATGTATGTATTAATCCATCCATCGCAGAAATCAACTAATATAGTTTATTAGAAATATCTTCTCTGCACTTGGTTTCTGAAAAGATAAAATATACTTATCCTCTGCATCTTACATTCTTTTATCAGACAAACTTTCTTGAAACTATTGTTCTTCATGGAATCAATAGTTTCATATTAGTTTCACTTGGTTCAAACTATTATTTTTCTTTAAAGTGAAATTATATTCTTCTTGAAACCAAGTCCTTGTCTGAACCTGTTTTTTTATATTGAACTCCTCTTTATTGAAACTTGCTGTTGTGTTCTCTCTAAATACTGAACTTAGTTTTAATGAAGAGGCAAGCATTTTAAACATTTGGCATCACGTTTTAAATCTCAGCTTTACTATGCTTCCTTGTTCATGTTTTTGAAAGATCATCATATCAGTTTTTAAACATTCAAAAACATTCTTCAGTCATCTTGAATTCTTGAGAGTTATGAGTATGATTGCATACATATAAAACTTACTCCAAGTTTATTCTCACTTTGATTAAATGACTGCTTTGGTTTCATTATTGTATTTATGATTAAAACCTTGTTTCAAAGTTCAAACATATTTTGGTTTTAACTCATAACTGTACACAGTTTCTTTTATCTAATTCAATCATTTGTATGATTGAGATAGACGAATTTTATGAAACTACAACTCACTTCATAACATCATATCGGGAGCAACTTATGCTTGGTGCTGTTGCAAGGTCGTGAAAAGAATCCGTTGCTGTGAAGTAAAGAAATGGTGCTTTGCTAGAAGGTTAGATAGTTAGCTGCCTATTGTGTGTAGTTGAGCTAATATCCCTATATTTCTTGTACTTTACAATTGAGTGGATTGAATCTTTTCCTGGCTTGGTCCCCCAGTTTTTCCCTTATGGGTTTCTGGGTTAACAAATACTGTGTCATTTACATTATTGCTTTTACATTGGTTACTTGATCACCAC